TCATTATATGAGACTACCTAGCTTGTCATGACTTTTCACCCATACAGTTAAATATTACCAAACTGATAATACTCTTCTGTATAGTGAAAAGGAAAAATAAAAATACTATATATAAAGGACTGTATTATCTGATAGTATATACTATATATATAAGATAATAAACATATAAAGAAAAACAAAAACAAAGAACAAAAAAAGAAAAGAAAAGAAAATATTGCTCAAGTACTATCTCCATAGCACTTAAGACTTTTATAAAAATTATATAAAGTACTGATACTATAACATACTTTATATCTCTAAATTATTAATCTCTATTTTGCTACCAGAAGGTGTCTAAATTTATTACTAACTATGCTTACCTAATCATGTATATCATTGTTTACTTTTGAGTTGTTTATAAATACATAGTTTTTACTAATTTGAATGTAGTATTGTTAATCCTTTTTTAGGAGTAGGCTGAATTCCTATAAACGAGAAAAAATGAAAATCTAAAGGACTGAAAATGATAAGTAAGTACAAAAAACCAAGTAGGAGTAAGTAAGTGTAAAAGTATTTGTCCTAGTACAAATATTGTAGTATGCCTTTTCTTTTATCTCTAAACTTCAAACTTCTGTAGCTTCTCTTATTTAACTTTAATACTCTGCAAGACAAACTTTTAGCTAAAATATTAGAACTATCTACTTTAGCTTTCTGCTACTTATTGCCTTAAAGGTCTTATGGGGCTATACACTATACGCTTTTGTTTTGAACTAATATTTTACTGAGTTTTCTTGAGTTTAGTACTTGTTTTGTAAAAAAGTTTTTTGCTCTAATATTAGTTTTGGTAATCAGCAAAAAGAGTTGTATTAGATATTATATAAAAAAAGCAAATTATTAGTATTATTTAATCAAAAGATAAATTATTTAAATATTTAAAAATATTAATATTAGTATTAGAAACTGTTTGTGAAATAAAGTTAATTGTATTAGTTTAAATAGATAAGTAGTAATATTTAAGGAATTAGGTTGGTTCAAAAATTTAATAATTTTTAAATATGAATTCATTTAAGTTAAAATAAATATGAGTTTCAGTGAATATTTGATTTATAGAAATAAGGATTAATTGTAAGAAGGAGTGGTTAGATAAATAAATAAGAAAAGAGTCTAATATTTTATTTTTTTTGAGTAGTAATAAGTTGTGTTATGAGAGAAAGAGGTTGTAACAAGTATTAATTTTGTTGTAGGTTAAAGTTCTATAAGAGTAATTAAATAAATTAGTATTTGATAATTTATATATATTAGATAATTTGGATGATATTAGTAAATGCATATGAATATTTGAATCTTCTAAGGTGCTTGCTATATTCCTAGCTCTTATAAATATAGAAGATACTAAAGTCTGCTCTGTATATTGAGTCTAACTGTCATAAACTTGATTCTTTGCATATTATAATACTATTTTAAGAAACTTATATAACCTATCTTTGCTATAAAAGATAAATAGTGCACTAAGTAAAATTGAAGCTTTCATAGTATATTTTAATAATATTAGTTGAATCTATGTAAATTTACTAATTTTTATACTATAATAAAAATATATCAGAACTGAAATAATATAAAAAATATACTATTAATAGGCTATAAAATTTGGTTTGTTGTGCAAAAAAAATCATAAATAAACTAAAAATAATAATTTTTATAAAGTAAGATAAGTAGTAAACTTTAGTAAACATTGGTATTATAAAATCTGTAACCTGACTAGATTAGGTTCTTATCTTTTTTTCTATAAATTAATTATCAGATGACTTTAAATAATTCAAATTAAGGTAATCTAGTTAGATTCTACTGATAAGACTAATAGAACCAATAGAACAGATAAAACTAATAGGTCAAATAGATCAAATAGGTCTAAAAGAATTAAATAATCAGATTAGACATTTTAGTCATAATTAGCAGAATAGTTTCTAGCATATATATACTAGATTTTATTATAAATAAAGGCTGTGTTAGCTTTTTGAGATAATATATAATGTCTTTTTTGCTTTAATAATAAATTTCTAATACTCAAAATAATAAATTCTCTAAAACCTCTAATCATTTAAATCTATGATATATTAAATAATCTCTTTTCTTCTTATATATTTGATATCCTATCTAGTTGCTAATTTGATATACTAGATACAACTATAGTTTATAAGTTTAGTTTATCTGAAGTAGTGTGGTATAGCTGAGGTTAAAGAAATCTAGAAAGAACCCGGATAATAGAAAGACCTACCTACGGAACCAACCAACTCGCCAAACCTAACACGCCTCTTTCCAGTAAAGCCTACCGTAGGTTACGCAAGTATTTGGAATATCAAGCGACTGACTCGCCGCTGTACCCGGTTTCAGTATATAAGCTTTTTTATAATCGTTTTATTAGAAATCTTTTAAGTTTAAATACAATAGTTTAAAAACAATTTACTAACTACATACTACTGTATATCTTTTTTTTTTTTTTTTTTTTTATTATCGAGATGTAATTTTTTTAAAATGTAATAAAGAATCCATATCCAATATATGCGAGCATGTACATATTAGAATTTTAAAGGGTTAATAAAGCAATCGGTATTACGAACAAGATTTCGTTATATAGTCAAATATAATACTTATATCATATAGATTTTTTGTAACGATGATAATTAAACGTTAGATATATAACAGATAATAGATAAATTGAATAGATAAGAGTATGCTTGCTTACGGTTTTAATTGGTTGGGTGATTCACGGAATTGATGTAACCTGAACGGTCGCTCCTGTTGATCAGTGGACCCGGTCCCGTTCTATTCACTATTAATTGATTGATTTCATAACAATATTATAATATAGGAATTATTGAAACAGCTATCAGTAGGGCACATGAAGTTAATTAGCTGTTTCACATAACCAAGTCGTGTCAATTTTTACAACTTCGATATAAAATTTTAAAGTTATTTGCAATCGGGGGTAGTTTTCGAATAATACCTGATCACTATCAGATCATGGGATATTTAGTGTACAAGCGGAAACTTTGTTTCCACTAATACCCAACAGATTAGGATTTTGATCTATCAAACAGGTTAATTTTCAAAAAAATGGCAAATTCTACTTTTGAGGGCCCATGTGATCTCTTTTGCATTTTTTGCATTATATGCATAGAGCATATGGCACAAAGGGTTTACATATAATTAATATTTTCACCTATAACAATTAATTAAATTTCTGCATTTAACACCTATAACTAGTCTGGCAAAAGCAGAATGTATTAATATTGATTAAACAATTTCATTCGGTCGGTCTGTATTTTAATTCTAGTTAGCTAACTCTAACTTTATTCGATGACCAATAATTTATTAATTTATATCAAATATTGTATCTATGGTCTAAATCTCATTATATATACTTGATATACTTGGTTTTTTTAGACTTCCGTGTCAATGCTATTTATTGCTTAACACCACATAATGGTCTCATTTAGATAGATTCAATTTATATATGAAAGACTATTTGAAAATTTTTTCATTATTAAATTAAACCGTTAAAGAGACACAGCACGTATCAGATAATAATGCTATGAAATTCTTTTCTTTTAATTTTAATTAATACATTTGAAAGACTCGAATTATACCATATGCAAATAGAGGCTAAGTAAGGTTAACAAGAGATTCCTATGAATGCAAGGCTTTTATATTGCATTTAACCATTAATTAATAAACAAAAAATAAACTTTCTATAGTCTAAATTAAGATACATTCGTGTAAAAGATCGATCTTTCAGGACCAAAGAACCCACAAAAATTTATTATGTACTTACGTATTCTTAGGAAGAATGAACCATACGAACTAAATCTTTAAACGTTTAACATATTATTACGTAGTTCATGCATTATAATTATTATATTTTATTTGTTTGTTAACTTGCATGTAATCAATTTTCTTGATGTAAAAAACGGTACGATTGGTTATATCTCCTCTATATTAAGGTGAGAAGATACGCTGTGCACCATTTGTGTACTCTCATGATTTTATGTAAGCATAGTAACAATATAGTACTTAACGTACGCACGTACGTATGTGCGCAGGCATAAATAAAGTTTACATATTTTATTGCGAAGTAAATCTTTGAAATTGGTAGTCCCAGAGATTTACCTGTTCTATAAAAATTAGTTTACTTATCAACACGAAATTGAATACATTGTTTGTTTACAAGTAGTATTTAGCACAACGTACACAAGACGTCCAATCTAAAAATTTTTTTCAAAACCCTTGCTTCCGACCCCATAACTTCAGCTTCGGAACCAGTAAAATCCCAGATTTTGTATAACAAACTATAATGAAACCTGCATTTACTATTAACCAACCAACGCGTTGATGAACTTCAATTTTTGTTCATGTCTATCGGTTAAATGCTTAATAATTTTTTTTTCGTATGTCTTGTAATTCAAAGATAAAACTACTTATTATTGTGCTCTTACAAACCTTCTCTGTTAAAAATAACATGAGCTCTTAATAAAATAATCATTTGATGTCTTTAACTTGTGTACACCGTACATTGTTTGTTTACAAAAAATTCTGTATTAATAAGTATAATGGAACCGATAAAAAATGCCTTATGTAAAGCACGTATTTTTTGTGAATGCAAATTAATGCAACCATTTTACTTAAATTTTGCTTAGCAAGTAAATTATATGCAAGTCATGAATATTATTCGTGCTGATCTGTCTTCGAAAACTTTATTGTACTCGGTTTACTATGACAATCTTCATTGCTTAGTAAAGCTATAAAACCGCCTAGAATTCATGATCAATTTCTCAACCCACTTTTTAATAATTATCTTGCGGTCATTCTTCCCTATTTGAAGAGTAAAATTTACTCTCTTTTGCTTAACGAAAGCGGTTCATTCTTCTTTATTTGACGAGTAAACCTTACCCTCTTTTATTTGACGAAATCCGTCATTTTATAAATTCTTTTTTATACTTGTCACTAAGAAGATTTTTATCATAATGTATTCGGATAAAACTTTTAAAGTTACTTCAAACAGCGCTACTAAAGTTGGTACAACTACACGCAAGATAAGAAAAGCGCAAGCTCCATCATCAAAAATGATTGGAATCGAATACGATGATTATTCCTCATTTGCCAAAGTCAGATTACCCGAAATCCCTACCACTGGCAATGAGATGAAGGAGGCTAGCTGTGTTGCTCCAACCTCCCCGGAAGGACGTAAATCACAGAATATCTATCATACCCGAACTCCCTCCTTAAAACGGAAGAATGACGAAATTTTGGCCGCTGAACTTCAAAGAAATACAAGATCTTTTGAAAATTTTCATCAAGATGATTTTAATAATATCTCTTCGAAAAGAGCGACAATATGTGGTAGTTCTTTAAGAAGATTCTCATCTATTCGTTCAAATCAATCTGATTCATTCGAACGTGTAACAAAACACCTCCCTCCAAAAACAAAACTTACTTCTTCAGAATTAGAGGTAATGAACTTAAGGAATGAAATACTTAGGGCAAAGATAGAATTATATATCAAGGAACAAATTGAAACGCTTAACAATCCTATGCAATTTCAAGATGATGTTCCTGATATAGAATATGAGAAAGATCAGTTAATTGATGATTATGATGCTAAAGAACATACTGCTTACAAAGAAGCTCATATGGCTGAAATTAAAGATAGTTTAATGAGCATTCGGCAGTATTGTGAAGCAATGCAAGCTAAGAATGCAAATTTGAATTCTGAAGTTAACCATTATAAAAAAGATTTAGGCCCTTCCTCTGATGACATTTCTCGACCACATAAAAAAACTGTGAAAAATCATAAATTTATTGATAAAAAACAGGAAAAATTACGTCCTCGTAGAAATATCAATGAAAATCGGGGAAATATTAAAGTATTCTGTAGAGTCCGTCCACCTGTATTATCTGAATGTGAAGATATCGCTGACATCAGATTTCCTCCATACTCTTATAATAAAAAAATTTCTCTTGCTTCTATCAAAAGAAATTATTGGGGTGTGGAAAGAGAAACTTCTAAAGAATATAAATTTGATAAAGTTTTTGGTGCTTCTGCGACACAAGAAGAAATATATAATAACGTTGCTCCTATAGTTCAATCTGTTGTTGATGGATTTAATGGTTGCATTTTCGCTTATGGTCAAACTTGTTCTGGTAAAACTTATACTATGCAAGGTCCACAAGACCCAACAATTTATAATGAAGGCATGATCCCACGTGCTGTTCGTCAAATATTTGAACATGTTGATGACTTAAAGACTAAAGGTTGGGAATATGAAATTGAAGGTCAATTTATCGAGATTTATAATGATTCGATCCGTGATTTACTTTCGGATGATCCTTCTAACCATCATGGTCTCAAGTTCCGAACTATCCATGATGAAATAACTGGCACTACCATGGTCAATAAGGCCAAGACTGGTAAGATTAATTTGTGAAATTTGCATAATTATAAAAATTAAATTATTATTATTTTACTTATTCACCTTCCTTTCAAATTATAAATTATAAAAACAGTGAATCTCGATTCAGTTGCAACTCTCAATTGGGTTTTACAAATGGCTGCCAAAAACCGAGCAGTCGCGTCAACAAAATCTAATGCTAACTCTTCACGAAGCCACAGCATTTTCATGATTCGATTAATGGGCACCAATACAGTTACCAATGAAAGTAGAATTGGAACATTGAATTTAGTTGATTTGGCAGGTTCAGAACGTCTGTCAAAATCTGGTTCTCAAGGAGATCAATTACTAGAAGCGAGATACATTAATTCAAGTTTAAGTCATTTGAAAACTGTGATTAAAGGTATCAAAGGAAAGTCGGAACATATTAATTTTAGGAATTCGACTTTAACTTGGCTTTTGAAAAATTCTTTGGGTGAGCTTAATAATTTTTTTTTTTTTTTTTTTTTACAAAAAAATAAAAATCATAATATCTTGAATAACTAAAAACTAACTTAATATTTTCGTGTTTAATAGGTGATAAATCCAAAGTTCTTATGTTTGTCCATATATCACCATTAGGATCTTCAAGAGCCGAAACTGAAAGCAGTTTGGAATTCGCACATCTTGTAAATTCCGCGTAAAAAATTTATTAGTAATCCATTACGTTAAAATCATGCATGATACCTTGTAAACAAATGTTACAGTAATTACAATTTTATATATAAACGTATTAATGTATTAATTAGCTTCATAATGGCATATTTTTTATTTTCTTTATTTATATTTTTCTTAGTTTTTTTGTTACTAACAATTAGTAATTTCTTTGTAATACGTTTTTGATTTATAACGATAATTAGCATTTAATAGATTTCTTCTATACGTGCTATTATATAAAATATTAAAAAAAAAATTTCCACCTTGTATTCTATCAAATTATAAAATATTTTTGCCGGTTTAATTTATCATGAAGTTACAGTACATAATCTATTTATCACACTACTCACAATAGAAATAATAAATAGTTCTTAATTGTGATTGATTTGTGTAGCGCGTTTTTTTTTTTTTTTGTTTTTTATTAGTTATTTGTTATTTGTTCAGTGCTTTTTTATCGCTTTTTGGTGCTGCTTTTGTTGTTGTTTTGGTGCTTCTTTCATCATTATTTTGGTATTTTTTTGTCATTCTTTTGGAGTTTCTTTCATCATTCTTTCAGTGTTTTTTTTGTCATTTTTTGGTGCTTTTTTCTTTGTTTTTTTTTTTATTATTTTGTGCTTCTTTTGACATTATTTCAGTGCTTTTTTCATCACTTATTTAGTGTTTTTGTTTTATCTTTCATTATTATTTTAGTTCTTCTTTTATTATTATTTTAATATTTCTTTGTCATTCTTTCAGTGCTTATTTCATCATTATTTTAGTGTTTTTTGTCATTTTTTTGGTGCTTCTTTTATTATTATTTTAGTGTTTCTTTGTTATTTTTCTGTGTTTCTTTTATCATTATTTCAGTGTTTTTTTATCACTTTTTTGGCGCTTATTTTACCATTCTTTTAGTTATTTTTTAGTAATTTTTTGTTATTCTTTTAATGCTCCTTTTATTATTCCTTTGGTATCAATATTAGTATTAATATTAGTTATTAATATTAGTACTAATGTTAGTATTAATATTAATAGAATATTGGTATTAACATTGATATTAATATTAGTACTAATATTAGTATTAATATTAGTATTAATATTAGTACGTATTAATATTGATATTAATATTCCGTAGTACTAATATTAGTATTAATATTAGTACTAATATTAGTATTAATATTAGTATTAATATTAGTATTAATATTGATATTAATATTAGTACTATTAACATTGAATTAGTATTAATATTAGTATTTTTTTTTAAATTTAGCAGTCATATCTTAGCTTTATTCAAACAGTTTGTAAACAAACTTTTTATATTTGAAGTAATCTTCTAATGTATCTGATTAGTCAACTGAAACTTATCTAGTTACCAAATAGTATTTATATACAATATGCTATAGTAGTAGTTTTCTTTCTCACAGTTAGATTTAATAATTTGAATCCTTTTGTATATTGCTAGATAGTTACAACAATTCAAAAAAAAAAATATTACTATCTAAAAGCTATAAAGTTATCTAATAAAAAAAAACTTGTTTCAGATTAAAAACTTTGTTAGATAGTAATATAATAGAATAGATTATATAGAAAAAAAGAAAACAAATATATTCTTTAATCTAAACTAGGTTCAAAAATATTAAGTCAGCAGATTTATAATCTATCTCAAATTATTCTTTCTCTAATATTATAATCTATTCTTATTGCTTTATAATAGTATATCAATTGCTAAAACTATATTAATATCTCTTATATATCTGTAAACTAGTATAAACAAAATAAGTAAAACAAAATATATATTTATATATGCTCATATCTCTATTTTGTTTATTTCTATAAGCATATATCTAATAGAGTATATCTAAAAATAGATATGATAAGCAATACTGATTTTTGTAGAGAGAAATCTAAATTCTTTACTTTTATTAATATAAGTAAAAGATTAGTGAGAAAAAGCTTGTAATATATAGTTGTTTATTAAAACTCTAAAGAGTATATAGATAAAATATTTTGTTGTTTCTTTTCTTCTTAAGCTTTCTTTTACTAATTTTATTAACAAAAAGCTTTGTCTTAAAAGCTTTTTACTAAAATTTTTTATATAAAGACACTATCTTTTACTAGTTATCTTATATAATATTACTTTTAGCTTACTTTCTAAATATACAAATGAGTTTTTAAGAAGAAATATAAATCTAGTTTATTACTCTTTCTGCTAATCACCAAAACCAATACTGAAGCAAAAAACTTTTTTACAAAACAAGCACTAAACTCAAGGAAACCTAGTAAAATATTAGTTCGAAACAGAAATACATAGTGTATAGTCCCATAAGACTTTTAAGACAATAAGTAGCAGAAAGCTAAAGCAGATAGTTCTAATATTTTAGCTAAAAGTATGTCTTATAGAGTATTAAAGTTAAATAGAAGAAGCTACAGAAGTTTGAAGTCAAGAGATGAAAGAAGAGATATACTACAGTATTTGTACTGAGACAAATACTATTACACTTACTTACTCCTACTTGGTTTTTTGCATCCACATATTACTCTTGGTCCTTTGAATTTTCATTTTTTCTTAATTATGAAGATTTAGCCTACTCTCAAAAAAGGATTAATAATACTACATCCAAATTAGTAAAAACCACATATTTACAAACAATCTAAAAGTAAACAATGATATACATAATTAGACAAACATAGTTAGTAATGAATTGAGACACCTCCTGGTAGCAGAATAGAGATTAATAATTTAGAGTTATAAAGTATATTGTAGTATCAGTACTTTATACAATTTTTACAAAAGTTTCAAGTACTATGGAAATAGTACTTGAGCAACATTTTCTTTTCTTTTTTTTCTCTTTGTTTTTGTTTTCTTTTATATATTTATTATCTTATATATATAGTATATGCCTTAGAATAATACAGTTCTTTATATATGGTATTTTTATTTTTCCTTTTTGCTATATAGAAGGGTATTATCAGTTTGGTAATATTTAACTGTATAGGTGAGAAGTCATGATGAGCTAAGTAGACTTATATAGTAATACTAATAGGAATAGAATAAATTAGTCTAGACTCTAGATTAAATTAAATCTACTTTATAGCAGGTTATGAATAGGTACTAGTAGAGTAACCAGTTGAGTCTTACTATTAATATTCACATATATATATGTACTGCCTTCTTTAGTTGTTAAGTTAGGTATATAAACCCTTGTAGTTTTATAATTACATTTAATAAATGATAAGGCATGACTTGCCGAAAAAGAAAAAAAAAATATAAATTTAGTTGATTTTTGTAAAAACTATTAGTATAAAAGAGTTTTCTTCATTATACTTTAACAAAATTTTGTTTTTTGCTTTTTCAGATTTTTAGAAAAAAAGATTATTAGAAAAAGTTAATATTAATATTAGTATTAATATTAGTATTAATATTAGTATTAATATTAATATTAATATTGGTCTTAATATTAATACTAATATTAATATTAATATTAATATTAGTACTAATATTAATACTAAAATTAATATTAATATTAGTACTAATATTAATACTAAAATTAATATTAATATTAGTATTAATATTAATTGTATAAACTAATTTATATAAAAAAATTATTAATAAAAATTATATAAAAAAAATTATATAACTATTCTATCATCAAATACTTTATTCTTAACTTAAATCAAACTCTTAGATTATTTATTTAATATTTAACTAAACTTAATTATAAACTTCTTTTTAAAATTACATATAATTTTGTACTTAAAAAAACTCATATTTATATTGATATTCTTGACTCTTTACTACTATATTATACTATACTTTATCTTAATAATTACTTTAAATTTCTTTTTTTTTTTTTTTTTTTTTTTTTTTTTTTTATTAAGGTAGCTTACATTGCCGAGCGAATTTTATTAGTTTGATATATGAGGTCCCACATGGGGTTCCCCTACAGTTTGTAATTACA